GGACATGGAGGAGTGGAAAAAGCTGAAAGATGAAGGAGGCAAGTAGAGAAGATATTTGAAGTGTTGCATTGCTCCGATGAGCAGAAAGTGAGATTAGGGACCTTCATGCTAGAAGGGGATGTCGAGCATTGGTGGAGCTCGGTGAAACAATCCTGGGATGAGACAGGAACTGAGGCAACCTGGGGAAATTTTCTACTAGCCTTTTTTGAGAAGTACTTTCCTTAATCAGTCTGAGAAAGAAAGGAGGTAGAATTTATTGAGTTGTAGCAACAGAAGATGTCAGTAGAGTAACATGCAGCTAAACTTGCAGAACTTTCTCGCTACGCGCCACACATCATCAATATGGAGGAATGTAAGGCGAGTCAATTTGAAAGGGGTCTTAGGCCGGATATCCGTGGGAGAATAATAACAGCCAATCTTCAAACTTTCTCCCCATTAGTAGATTTAGCCCTGAAGATTGAAAAGGATTGTGAGGATTTCCGGCTGAGAAAGGGAGGAAGAATCGACCACCTCCTGGGGAAGACCTTAGAAGGGAGATTAATCCAGATAATATGAAAAGACGAAAGATTTTCCCAAGGGATGTGAGGGAGAACCATCGGCCGACCTGCTCATATTGCGGACTGAGCAACCATTCTGCCGCTGAGTGCCGAAGAAGGCCAGGAGCGTGCTTTGGATGTGGCAAGCTTGGCCACTTAATTAAGGACTACCCTGCAAAGACGCCCGGAGAGAGACCCGAGAATCAAGGTCAGGTGTTTGCCCTCATGGAACAGGAGGCAAAGCATCTACCTCCACGGCCCGAGGTGAGCTCTTTGGTAATGATGAGAGAAAAATTTGAACCTTCTTGTTTGACTCTGATTGCCTTCCTATATTGTATTTGTTATGCCCCCCTAAGTATTGAACCTGCACCTCCTAATTATACCTTAATACGTGCACATCTTTTTGGGGAAATACTTGGGTATTTTAGCTCAAAGTTTAAGTATTGTGGGAACGACTAAGAGGTAGAGAGCCTTGCCCATAACGTTTGTTTTCTTCTAGAAGGTTGGATTGTATGCTTTGCATTGTATGCTTTATATGTCTTAATAGCGTTGCAAAAAGTAATGTACCGTTTTTAAAACCCCCAGTAGATTTAATTGGTGAATATGTGATTTTGGGAATAAAATCCTTTTTAAAAAGGGATGATGTAACAACCGACAATTTTTCCCGACAAGATGATGGGCGAGCCAATGGGGAAAACCAAGAGAAAGGAAAGCACGCACGGCAGTAAGAAGAGAGAGCAGAAGGTAACGCCACGCATGAAGAAAAAGGAGCAACGCCGCGCGTGAAGAGAGAGAAAGAGCAGCGCCGCGCGTGAAGAAAGAGAAAGGATAACACCGTGTGTGAAGAGAGAGAAGGGGTAACACCGTGTGAGAAGAGAGAGGAGTAACACCACGTGTGGAGAGAAGGGGTAACGCCGCGCATGAAAAGGGAGAGAAAGAGGCAACACCATGAGTGTATAAGAAGAAGAAGAAGAAATTTTCACGACGGCAGTGAGATGGAGCAAAATGGGCTAGCACCGTGCGTGTAGCGCCGTGTGTGTCACTGCCGCGCATGAACGAGGTTGCCACCTGCTAGATGCATGCTGCCACACACGCCACTTGTCTTTGTGCATGTGTGGCGCTTGCCACTTGTCCACCTTGGGACAGCCGCCCCAGCCACCAGGGTACTTAAGCTCTCTCTCCCTCCCACGCCATTCATTCCCACTCTCTCTAGAGCACACTTAGTGCCTTTCACCTTAGGCTCACCATTACCCCACTCTTAGAAGTTGAAATAAGGGGGCTGTAAGAAGGGGTTTGAGTTGGAAGAAGCACAATTGAACCAAGTAAGTGGATTAAATCATCCTTGTACCCATAGTTTAGAAGCATGAGATTAAGGGTAGTTTTAAGTGTGAATGTTGAGGTAAGAAGTGATTACATGTTACTAGAATCATGCACTGTTTTTACAGATTGAAGCCTTATTGCCTAATGCATTTTAGTGTTGTAAATGACTCTGTTATTTGTGAAATTTGGTAGAAAAATGCCCCTGTACATCTATAGTAAGAAGGAAGGAACTTCATGTTGACATCTTTTGTGAATGGAAAAGTTTTGGAGAATTTGATGAGGCATGTCTTGTACACACTATGAAATCCCAAGAAGTTTTCAAGCTTTCGTAATGAACATTTGAGCAGTCAAATAAGGTCCAAATGACCTCAAATCACTGCCATTAAAAAGATATGTGAGTCTATTATAACGTTCATGTACAATATTTGTTCAATTTCCCGATAAATGGAAAGTTATGCCCTAATATGAGCAAGCATGCCACTGTTAATAGATTTCTCTGAGTTTCGGAACTGTCCCTGATGTTGCCATGAGTTTTGACTAACCAAATGAAATCCAATTTCTCTCAAACCACTTCCATTTGAAAGATCTCTGAGTTGGCTTAAAGTTGCATGTTGAAAGTATTTCAAAATACCGCCTAGATTGAAAGTTATGCATGAAATTATGAGAATATGTCAATGTTGGCAGAATTTACTAGATTTCCAGAACTGTCATTTCCGTTGTCATGAGCTTTTGAATAACCAAATGGAGTTTAAATGCTTTCAAATGACCTTTGTTGGAAAGATACGTGTCTTTACTCGAACTTTGGCTTTGAAACCATCTTAGTGGATTGAAAGTTATAACTTTTCAAAGAGGGACATGTCATTGTTATAATTGCGTAGCAGATTTCAGATAGCATGTTTTCATTGTATTAAGCTTTTGAAGGGTCAAACGAGGTCCAAACGCTTTCAAACCACCCCCATTTGAAAGATATGTATATCTAGTGTAAAATTGGTTTTGGAACCGTCTCCGAATTCCAAATGGATCGGAAGTTATGACCCTGTTTATGACCGGATGTCACTACTTGAAATTACAGAAAACATGAATATGTGATAGTGTGAGACTGAACATGTGATACTGTGATATTGAATATGTGATAGTGTGATACTGAACATGTGATATTGTGATACTGAATATGTGATAAGTGTGAGAATGAACATGTGATAGTGTGATTCCAAAGAACTGTGATATTGTGATGTTGAATATTTGATAGGGTGAGACTGAACATGTGATACTGTGATACTGAATGTGATAGCGTGTTACTGAACATGTGATATTGTGATACTGAATATGTGATAGTATGAGACTGAACATGTAATATTGTGATACTGAATATGTGATAATGTGACACTGAACATGTGAGACTGTGATACTGAATATGTGATAGTGTGATACTGATATTGTGATACTGATACTAATACTGAAACTGTGATACCGTGATACTGTTACTAATACGGTGATACTGATATTGATACTGTGATACTGATACTATGATACTGATACTGATACTGTGATACTGATACTGATATTGTGATACTGATGCTGATACTGATGTGATATGAAGCATTATGCAATGGGTCATCCATTGATAGTGTGATGTGACACGATGAGATGTGATGTAGGAGCATGAACTTGCACCACGATGAGATGTGATATGGGAGCATGGACTTGCGCCACAATGAGATGTGATGTGGGAACATGGACTTGCACCACGATGGAATCTTTCCCTAACTCCTGATGATAGGAAGGGAGCTAGGATGTGATGTGAACTTCCGTGGGTCGCAGCCCCCCAAGATGTATTGGCACTATCCATTGGGACCCCTTTGGTAATGTAGCATCCTCTAGCGGGATGCAAAGAGATGGCAGTGTCTTGCAAGGCCAAGAGCCCATCAATTGCCCCAAAGCGCGCTGGGGATTGTGTGTGTGAGGACAATACGAAGTGGGTCACCCACTTGTCATTGTCTTCTCTCCTGAGTGATGATAGAGGTCCTAAGCAATGGGATTGGCTTGGCCTGATGAATAAGACTTCTATTTCGAGAGTAGGTGGACTAAGGAGTGAGTTAGCTGGTAAATGTGGTGTTTGGCTAAGCTTATGACTCTATTAAGATTAGTACTGTTGAGTAAATAAATGATCTCCTTCTGTATTGTATCCAGTGGCATAACATGTTATTGTTGCACTGTGAATCACCTGTGATACTCTGATAGATGTAGTTTTAACATATGACTCATGTTTATTGAGGATTTTATTATAATATCTTGTAATTGTTATAAAATGATATTCTTAGGCAGGGAAGCAAGGTGTTTTGATCCACTTACTGGGCTTTGTAGCTCATTCTGTTTGCTTCCCTCTTTGTAGATTGACAGCTGCAGGTCGAGGACAAGCGAGTGGCAATCGAGGTTACCTACATGAAGATCCGCTCAATGAGGAAGCTTTCTTAGGCTGTAGGTGTCTGTTGGCTGTAGCCATTCAGTGGTTTTATTGAACGTATTATGTATGTTTGTGAGGCCGTGTTGCCTTGGACCAATTGTAATATTTTTTGGTTCTGTATATGTATAACTTGATAGTTTTATTTATCCGACTTTTTCTGTGGCCCTAATGGGAGTTGATGCTTTACCTTGTGGTTTTCTCTTATTTTCCTTTTTTAAAATACGTTGAGCTCACTCCCACCTGAGTGGCATTCACGACCTCCGATCGTGATCCCGCACTCTGTCGCCCTCCGGCATGGTACGATAGGGGTCAGGGGGTGGGGTCATGACAAGTCTGCTCCTAGAAATTGTTGCCCACCAATTACTAATAGCCGTCCTCCTCTGTCTCTTCTTAGTCTGCCTCTGATTCCTCCAGCACCCTCGTCCTCTGTGAAGAACAAGTGGACTTAAGAGGGTCGGTTGTTGTCCCTGAAGCCTCCATGAGCATATCCCATGTCAATCCGTCATGCCCCTAGACATCATACTGAAGTTTCCAACAGTGCTTTGACATAAACCCAGCCAACCTATGTCAAAGGTAGACGACTAGATGATGTCTATGCACTGCAGGAAACTTTGTTACTCATTGTAAACAAACCCTTAACTTATTATCCAATTAGTATTTCCAAGAAGCAAATTACTTACCTGAGGATCATAACCTTTTGCTGCAACAAACAAGCCTCCAACACGGACCAGTGGAAGGCAATACTCAGCTGAAAGGGAGAATGATTTATTTCAAAATAAAATCTTGGAAAACAACAATAGAATCATATTTTCAAGATATGAAAGGCAACTATAGTCAAATTATACTCATTATGTTATTCATGACCTAAAATTCTCATTTCAGCAACAGCTCTTGCAACTGCGACATCAAACGCCTCTCTGAATTCAACATTTTGGCCCACACTCTATCATATTCAAACAAAATCCACAAAAGCCTAAGATTTAATTCCAGGATCAAATTAGTTGAATCAACACTAGACATAAATAACTTGACTTACCCATAAAAAGAAGTATTTTATCACATGTATAGAAACATTAAGAGATAACAAGGTGTTTCTCCAATACACAAGCATGAAGAGTTAATGATAAGATGACAAAAATATAAGTATTCATGCATTTTGGTATGGAACACTAAGTAAACACAATAACGAGTACTAATAAGAAGATAGCGTAGATTGAGGATTCAAGAAAAGTTTTGACAAAGTTTTATGCTGACTACCTACCAAATACAACACACCTCCTTTACCAAAGCTTGGGATGAGTTTAGGGAAAGTTTAAGGTCCTCACCGTTCATAGACCAATAACGAGTAATAATAACAATTCTTAAATTACACTACAATATCCATCGATTTTACATATCACTCAGATGGGAAGAATGAGTGGAAACATAAGAAGATCCAATTGCCAATAGCATTAATTTGGAAATCAAAAAATAATAAGAGGTGATGAATAATAACAAAAATAAATTTCAAAGAAATGGGGTATCTTAATATGATCCTACAAGGAATGCAAGAAGTAAAGGCTTGGGGAAGCTGCAGGGCCTACAAAAGGTGGTGAACCAAGCTCATGTTTGGTATGCAAGCGTAGATCCTAGATTGTATTAGGGTTTATTTTCCATAATTAAAAAGATGTAATTTTTAGACTCCTGTAAGTGTTCTAGCTGGTATGAATAAAGAAAGAAGGGAAAAAGTTTTAACTGCATGTACCTGGCTGGATCACATTGTCCACCTTTCATTTCATGTATGTGGCCACATGCGATCTACCAACACTAAGCCATTTGATGAGGATGCTATGCTATTCTGAATGTATGTGGCACCCAGCATTGGATGACAACCATATGCGGTCTTAAAGAGATTAAAGTCTGTTGTGTATGCTGGATCGGGCTTGAGCTGGGGTTTGGCGGCATATGGGAGTATCAGATATGGACAGACTCATGTAATGGAGAGTCAAATTTTGTATCCCATTGTAGATGATGTGTCAGACCCCGAATGGCATGAGTGACATTATGCACACCGCGCATGCCTGCAACTACAAACAAGTTGCCCTGGTTTTCTGTAATTTGGGATATTTCGTATCTTGAGAAAAATTTTAGCATTTTGTGATCAATCGAAAAATGATGTTGCATATTGAGTGTCGTAGGATGAAAGTCTGTTCAGATGTGCAAGATAAGCATTCAATAAATAACAGAAAACATAAGCACATAGTAGTTATGACAATGTTCCAAGATACTTAGGTGCTATTCTACTAGAAAAACTCCATCAAGTTTACCTAAATCTATAATTGTTTAAATTCAGAAGAATCAAATATGATTTTATTAAGAGCAAATAATTAAACACCGCAGTAATTCTTTTTCCCTCACAACACACAAGCACTACAGATAGCATGGTTCGAACCATCTCAGCAAAGACATCACAAGATAAGGCATTGTACGAGTATATTGCAATTGTATTCAGTAAATTCACCAATTACAATAAATTAATAAGGGTATGGATGCATATTCTGATGAAGTGAAAATTCAAGGAAAAAATATATCACAAAAATTTATGAAGAAACCAACATTAGCATCCACAAAAGATATGACAATTTTCAAATAATAACAGCATATTCTGGAAACAAAGTGTTGGTATTATCAAAACTTACATATAAAGTTGCCATTTTGATGAGAGTTTATGTGAGTAATAACAGTGAATTTGGGAATCTGGCTTCACATAAATGTCAATAATTGTGGTGTGCAAACCAAGTGACAAACCCATCTACAATGACAGTAAGAAACTTATGCTAACATGTTAGACTTGAAACAAACCATCACCTCAGCTCTTGCACATACAACTTGCACATTCAACAAGCCTGAAACTCTGATAGCATGCTCTAAGAAGAGGCACCTTTTATGCATTGAGTCCAGAAGAGTAAAATGCCAATCTATAAAGTACAAAAATAACAATAAATGTTATAATGTAGGATTTATGAGCCTATATTATCAATTCTATAATGAATATGTTTCCTTCTCAAATCAACACAGTGTTTCTTTAACAGCACGATGAGGTATGCAAATGAAAGCCATGTAGAAAACAAATTCTCTTTTTACTAGACCTGAACAACAAAATCCTTGGCAGTTCAAGAGTTGAAAAGCACAAGGTGATCATTAAAGATGTGAACATAAACCATGTAAGCCGGCTGCCACCCATAAAACACACACTCTGAGGAACTGTTACAAGTAACATTCCTCATTAAATCAGGAGCATAATTCCAAAAAAAAAAAGCTAGTCCAAAGAACATTGTAAAGAGTTGCACGGTCCCAATGTATGTTCATATATTTTTTGTGCAGCTTCTTCAAAAATAATTATTATGCATCATACATAGGGACATATAAGGAATAAACACATTGTCAATTCGGTGTAGTCACACCGAAGGATTAGTTTATCACATACATCGAGACATATTTTAGATTTTTGAATAATTGATGTCCATATTTTGGGAGAAGGCTCAGAGGATGATGATGATGAATAATTGATGTCCATATACTAGACAACACAAACAGCATGCACTGGTGCTATTGTTAACGTGGCATTAGAGCTAGGATGAGAAAAAACTAGAATTAGAAGAAACTTCTAAAAACAATAGAAACACGAATGTTGATCAAAATGCTAGACTTGCAGATTACAGTCCACAACATCACTATATCGAAAGTGCGAACAAAGAAAATTGTCGAAAAAATCAATTGAATATTACATATGTGTGTGTGCATGTGTATGTTGCAATTTGGAGGCTGTTAGTCAAAGATAATGACTAGCAATCCCCAAAAATAAAAAAGAACTCAACTAAAATTTGGGTCGTTCTCCGCATAAAGAAAGAATTGGAAGTTCCTTTCAAAGACGATCATTGCCCTCGGTTGCATCATAGGCTTGGTAGTGTTTCCGGAATTGATATGTAACACAGAATATATATAACCTATCTCCTATCCAACAGCTATTATTTTCAAAGCCTTACTGAACAATAACTAGACACAATAACAAGACAACATTTTCCTCATTTTATCAAGACAGCTGAGCACAGCCTCGTGTTGGCTTCCATATTCATCAACAACTCTAGAAATCAACTCATAACTTCATTTTCATTGTTTAACTTCATTTTCATTGTTTGATAGGTAAGAAAGATATCCTTCATGGAGATTAATTGATTAATTAGCAGCCACCATCACCAAAACAAGTCAATCAAAGAACCAAATCTCTTATGGTTTTCTAATTCTATTGTGCAGGCCGCAGATACTTCGCAAATGTGGTTCTTTTATTTACTTCAATATACAATCTTAATGGCCAGATATCACTTGTTATTTTCATTATTGATGACTGAATACATTTAAATACATTCCAAATACAATGTACATGAAAAATGATCTATTTCAAATATTTTCCTTTACACTTTGAGTCCCCCGTTTAATCAGTGTGCAGTTGAACACATATTCCCTCCATTAACTCTCAAACAAACAACTCAAGCCACACATTTTCACCATGGTAAGCAACCATGGACGCATAAATTTCAAATTAAGCTGCTTCTCTGAACGGTTACGATTTTAGTCCCATATGTATAGAACAAGAATGGATTGCATAGAAAAGAAGAAACAGAGGCCAGTAAGAGAGAGAGAATAGCAAACAATCTCAAAAACCTGGGCAGGCAATGGCCATGATGAGGCCAGGGAGCTCAGCTCCGCTCCCCACATCAACCGTTTACATTTTGAATCCCCCGTTTAATCAGTGCGCAGTCGACCACATATCCCTTCATTAACTCTCAAGCAAACAACTCAAGCCACACATTTTCACCATGGTTAACAACCATGGACGCATAAATTTCAAATTAAGCTGCTTCTCTAGACGGTTACGATTTTAGTCCCATATGTATACAAAAAGAATGGATTGCTTAGAAAAGAAGAAACAGAGGCCAGTAAGAGAGAGAGAATAGCAAACAATCTCAAAAACCTGGGCAGGCAATGGCCATGATGAGGCCAGGGAGCCCAGCTCCACTCCCCACATCAACCAACTTCACAGTCGACGTGACGGCCGAGCATCTCTCTCTTATCACCGGTAGGATAGAGAGGGAGTCCTCCACATGCCTCTTCACAACCTCGCTCCACTCTGTCACACCAGTGAGGTTCATGCGCTGCACCACCAAAAGCTCAAAAAATTACCGATAAAGAACATTGGAGAGGGACAAAGAATGTCGCGACAATATAACGATAGAGAAGGAGGAGGAGGTTGAAAGGATGGGGACCTGATTCCAGTCCAGTAATGTGTCAATGTAGAGAGAGACCTGCTCCTTCTGCTTCGTGCTGAGAGCTCCCAGCAAGGAGGAACTTTGGCTGGAAGATGAGGAAGAGAAAGAAAGAGTAATATTGCCGCAATAGTAGGAGAGAGAGTGACGCCTGTTCAGCCTCCTCCATGTCCATGGTATATGTGCCCTGACCCTGGTAAAGGAGAAGGAGAGGGAGAGACGATCCATGTCACTCTTTCCTTTTGATCATCCACCGCTTCTTTTTAACACTTTATGATTTTTCTTCCAATCATAATGTGCAAGCGGCCTATAACAATTTGCGACGAGTTATTGGCGCGGTTTTACTTATTTTGATAGGCAAACTATTTTTCAGTATTAACTTGGACGAGGAAGCCTTTTCTGTCTTCCTTTTTTTAATCTTTTTAATAAATTAATTATGGAGATGGAAGGCGGTATATTATGTGAAAGGCACCTATCTCTAGCCTACGCTCAGACCACATTCTCTTAATCGGAAATTCTTCACCACTTCATGTCCCTAGCCACCAATGCCCCAAACCCGTTCTCTTAAATTGGAAATTGTTTATCACTTCGCATCTCGAATATCGTACAGAATTTTTGTCTAGTTTTTCTTTCCCTTTTTTCACTGTTGTAGTTCGAATCTCTAGTAGGATTTTTGTCTATTTTCTCCTTCCTTTTTTTTAAGTTAAGCAGGGTGTTCTTTCTACGATATGATTGAAATTCAAGACATCATATTGAGATGATCTCCCAGTCTAACCACGTAGGAGCTCATTCCTAATTTGAAGCATTAAGTAAAAATTAATCAACAAATTCATATCACTCTTTAATAGAGAAGTATGTGTTAGGTTTGGTGATAGTCAAAATCACCATATCTAAGATCTTCACTCCTTTAGAGAGAAAGTCTCTACGGTTGCTCTCAAGGTTCCAGTAGCATCATTGTGGTGGGAAGGAAGATATTAAGGGATAATGTTGCTCAGTCGAGAAGCGAGTTTACAAGAGAAGATTGGTGAAGGCCTTTTACCGATGTTTAGAGAGATGTATATTTCTCGTAACCAAAAACAGTAATATTCAATGTGATAGTGGATTTCTATTTGTCAAGGTCATGGACATAGCGCTACAAGATGAACCACATAAATATTGTGTTATTGTGGTACGATTTAATTTTTGTTTTATTTCATGGTTGAATAGCATCAATTTCATATTTAACGACTTATGTACATAATCTTGAATAGGATCCTGGGATTTGGGATTTGGGATTCGTGATTCCTCTAGGCAGAGGTTCTTGAGGACCCTACAATATCGATATGGTCAAGATATGATATGTTTAGGATGGTCAAATCTCCACAAAGAACTCTCCACAATCAATCACCTAAACTACAACGCAACAATATGCCCAGGAAGAGAACCATTACTCTATGCAACTAATAAATTATAGGACGAATAGCCATGAGTCTTAGTTTTCTACTAGTAGATTAATGTGCATTGCACGGGTGAATGTAGGTCATGGCGATGATTAATCAAGGCCTTCGGGGTGTACAAGACTTGAGAGTTCATGTGACGGCAGGTTAGGTGCCTCGATCTCACCTTCCAGATCCCTGGAGGATCGGGTCGCACGCGTCTTAGGTTTCGGAGAGACCCATGACGCTTGTGAGATCGCTCTATCGGGAACTTCATTCGAAAATGGGGGCAGGTGTTACCAACCGGTGAGAGAGGAATTTAAAGGTGGGTTCGGGACTTACTCGGGCTGACTCACGTGGGCACCCTCTTAGATCATAAAGAAAGCCCCCCCAGTGATAAAACTGATTCAGAATCACCTCCATTAGCTCATTTTCTTCTTATTTTCCACTTTCCTACAATTACACACATATATATATGGCAAAGGTTATGGGACAGGTGAGTCAGGCCTCACCTTTTTCCTCTTTGATGAACATACGCAATCATGCATATTCAAAAAGAAAAAAGAAAGACAGGGGGGGGGGGAGAAGAATTCGACCAAGTGAGAAGATCAAAGCAGTGACTAGGCTAGAGGATGATTGGCATAACGTGGTGGAGAAACAGGCTCGGTAATTGAGACCGGTTCATAAGATCGATACTATGTGTTATTGTCAATATCAACTAGCTAAGCACAATGGTCGGTTTGTCATGTCAGTAAAGCGGGCCAAGCGAACCTGGTGCAACAACATTACGGGGTAAACGATAGGACGACCATGAGATGCTAACCGTAATCTCTGTTGGTCAAACGAAAGAGTAACAAAGACAAGAAGGGGATAGCCAGAAGGAGAGAGAAGAAAGATGAGAGAAGGGAGAAGAAGGAAGAGGATATGTAGTTGGTGTTGGACATTGCCGACTGTTTCAGGAGATGGGAGAGAGGGGAAGTAGTCGGCGCTAGGCTTCGGTGACTGTGTTAGATGAGAAGAGAGTAAGGGGACTAACTCACACTAAGTCTCGCCAGCTGATAGAAAAAGAGAGGGAAAACCAGTCGACGCTAAGTCTCGCCAACTGACAGAAGAGGAAAGAAAAGACCAACCTTCGCCAAGTCTCGCCGACTGATGGAAGAAGAAAGAGAAGACCAACCGGCACTAGGTCTCGCTGACTGATGGAAAAAGAGAGAGAAGACCAACCAATGCTAGGTCTCGCTGACTGATAAAATAAGAGAGAGAAAACCAACCGGCGCTAGCCCTTACCGACTGATAGAAAAGAGAGAAGACCAATCGACGCTAGGCCTCACCGGCTGACGGAAGAAGAGTGAGAAAACCAACCAACGCTAGGTCTCTCCGACTAGTAGAAGAAGAGAGAGGAGACCAACTGGCGCTAGGTCTCGCCGACTGGTAGAAGAAGAGAGAGAAGACCAACCAGCATTAAGTCTCACCGACTGATAGAAGAAGAGAGAGTAGACCAACCAGCGGTAAGCCTCGCCAGTTGACAAAAGAAGATATAGAAGACCAACTGGCACTAGGTCTCACCAGTTGACAAAAGAAGATAGAGTTGACCAACCGACGTTAGGTCTCGCCGACTGGTAGAAGAAGAGAGAGAAGGCCACCAGGGGCTAGGCCTCGCCGGTTGATAGAAGAAGATAAAGAGGACCAATTGGCGTTAGGTCTTACCAGTTGATAGAAGAAGAGATAGAGAAGAGAGGGATAAGATAGAGAGAGAAGAGAGATAAAGAGAGAGAAGAGAGAGAGAAGACAGAGAAGAGAGAGAAAGAGAAGAGAAAAGAGAGAAGAGAGAGAAAGAGAGCGAAGGAAGAGAAGAGAGAGAAGAGAGCGAAGGAAGAGAAGAGAGAGAAGAGAAAATACAGAGAAGAGAAAGAAAGAGAGAGAAGAGAGAGAAAGATAGAGAGAGAAGAGGTAAAGAGAGAGGAGAGAAAAAGAGAGAAAGAGTGAGAAAAGAGAGAAGAGAGAGAGAAGAGAGAGAGAAGAGAGAGAAGAGAGAGAAGAGAGATAAAAGAGAGAAAAGAGTGAAGATTGAGAGAAGAGAGAAAGTTGCCTGCCTGAAGGGTACCGGCCCTTTCCTTCTCTCTTCGCTCTCTCTCTCCAAGACGTACTCACAGACTCAAGCAATTAATTGAAATTTTTATTGAATCTTCAAAGAATCAACTGAAGGCCGAGGAGTCTCTTTACAATGAGGCAGTGTCTGTTTATATAGAATTGTGCCCAAACATGAGTGGATTGATCAAAATTCGACCTAATTGCTGAAAATTAAGATTTAATTGAATTAAAAGAAATTCTAAAAATGGGTTCAAAAAGACTATTTTGCCCCTGTATAAAATGTGGGGAATTCCATAACAGTCCCCGCTACTGCTCGAGATCTTGCGTGATCTTCCATGGCAGAGCCGAGGGTGTTCTGATGCCCATTTGATAGAAAGATTATTGTTTTCTTGTAGGGCTCGAAATGACGATCATTTTGATACCAACTACGAGCCATGAATCATGTTTTTGAGCCATGATCACGAGACTTGAAATTTGTTTGAGTCTTAGAAATTTTGGATCGATGATGCGCTCGTTTCTTGATTTTTTTTTTCTCTAATTTTTTTGTCGTAGCGTACTAAGCATGTCGTCATGATTGCGTGGCAACAAACGGGGCGCGATTTGGAGCACGAACAAAGATTTCACAATTTTTGAGTTTTGGCAGGAATCTAGAATCCGACAGCTGGAATTTCATTTACTTCGTCGACATCGGGCATAAAATCTGACCGCCCATCATGTACGAAGTTCAGACCAATGATAACCCTAGACCTTACGCACACAATGGAATTTGTCCCGCGTTGATCTGTTGCGCGAGGGTCGTAATTTGGTCTATTGAGCGAGGAGTGTCGCTGCTAAATTTTCTGTAATTTTTTCATGGATTGACAACATTTATCTAGCTTTTCTCCCTGCTCAGACATCATCTGGGGGCTCGCCACATATCGAATTGTTCGTCTTGATGAGACGATTATGCTCACCAAATTTAGGAGCGATCCGACTTGGAACAAGTGAGTTACGGGCCCCAAAAGTGACTGCCTGTGACTGTCAAACAATCACCTTTAATGGTGTTTTGGTGCAGTGAGGCCACACGGGATTAGTGTGCGACCTCTCCTGTTTCAATGTTTGGCTCATATCTTTGTTTTAGAGTATCTGATAAACCAAAACTTGGCCCATAGGGGTCTTCGACTGGGTCAGATCTAATGGCGGTGGTTCCATAGTGATTTAAGACACCAAAAATGTAGTTCCAGTTGTAGGGTCCGTTTCAGGGTGCTAGAGACCGATTTTGCTGAAAGTGTTTCTTTGTGTTCACTGCCTTAGACATGTCTAATCACGATGAAACTTAGCAGATGGTCTTTTACAGTACTGACGAAGATCTTAACCAATTTTGGGGCCTACCAGGAACCAAGGTGCTGAAAAATACGTTCCAACAGCTTGCCCCGCTGAATGTTGTGCTTCAAGAGAAGCGAGAAGGACAATCATTTGGAAATTTTGCTTTGGCTTTTACTTTTTTCCTTCCTAGCCACAGGACCACGTGAATGCTGAGGAGATTCATGTAATGGTGTAACTACGCTGCTAAGACGTAGGGATGCATTGTTCAAGGGTCCATCCGTGGAGACTTTAGGGAGAGAAGATACTTTTTTTAGGGGTCTTGTTGAAGTCCTCACCCTCGTGTGGACTGTTTGTGATTCTGAATCTGAGGATTTTATACGGACCTTGTCAGTCAGAATCGGGCCCATCTGGCAATTGAGTGCCATGGTGAAGGGAATTGTTCCCATTTGGTCTGGGTTTGTTGGTTTG